CTGTGTTTCTATTTTGTTGATTTCAGCCCTCAGTTTGATTATTTCCAGTCTTCTACTCCTCCTGGGAGAGTCTGCTTCTCTTTTTTCCAGAGTTTTCAGGTGTGCTGTTAAGACTCCAATATGTGCTTTCTCCGTTTTCTTTAAATGGGCACTTAGTGCTATGAACTTTCCTCTTAGCACTGCTTTCATTGTGTCCCATAGGTTTGAGTATGTTGTTCTTTATTTTCATTAAATTCAAGGAAGACTTTAATTTCTTTCTTTATTTCTTCCTTGACCCAGGGATGATTCTGTAGTTGACTGTTCAACTTCCACGCGTTTGTAGGCTTTCTGGTGTTCGAATTGTTATTTAATTCTAACTTTATACCGTGGTGATCCGACAAGACACAGGTAGTTACTAATATTTTTTGTATTTGTGGAAGTTTGCTTTGTTACCGAGTATGTTGTCAATTTTCGAGAAGGTTCCTTGAGCTGCAGAGAAGAAGGTATATTCTTTCCTATTTGGGTGGAATGTTCTATAGATATCTGTTAAGTCCATTTGATTCATTACCTCTAGTAATTCTCTTATTTCTCTGTTGAGTTTCTGTTTGATTGACCTGTCCTTTGGTGAGAGAGGTGTGTTGAAGTCTCCTACTATTAGTGTGTGTGGTTTGATGACTGCCTTGATTTCTAAAAGTTTTTCTTTTACATAAGTGGATGCTTTTATATTAGGGGCATAGATATTCAGGATTGAGACTTCCTCCTGATGAATTGCTCCTGTTATGAGTATGAAATGTCCATCTCCATCTCTTCTGATTGATTTTAGTTTGAAGTCAATTTTGTTAGATATTAGAATGGCCATACCAGCTTGTTTCTTCGGTCCGTTTGCTTGGAAAATCTTTTCCCAACCCTTTACTCTGAGTAGATGTCTATCTTTGTGTTTGAGGTGTGTTTCTTGTAAACAGCAGAATGTTGGATCCTGTTTTCGTATCCAATCTCTTAGTCTGTGCCTTTTTATAGGTGAGTTGAGTCCATTAATATTAAGTGATATTAATGACCAGTGGTTGTTGATTCCGTTTATTGTTGTGTGTGTGTGTGTGTGTAGTAGAGTTCGTGTGTTTCTCTTCTTTGAGTTGTGGTTGTGAAGGGTCGCTAGATGTCTGAGTTATTGTAGGCAGTGATGGCAATGTTGGATTCCTTGGGTTGCGATTTTCCTTCTATTACTTTCTGTAAGGCTGGATTTGTGGCTACGAATTGTTTAAATTTATTTTTATCCTGGAATATTTTGTTTTCTCTGTTGATAGTGAATGATAGCTTGGCTGGGTATAGTAGTCTGGGCTTGCATCCATGGTCTCTTAGTTTCTGCAGTACCTCTATCCAGGATCTTCTGGCTTTCATGGTTTCCATAGAGAAGTCCAGTGTAATTCTGATAGGTTTACCTTTATAAGTTACTTGACCTTTTTCCTTTGCAGCTCTTAATATTCTTTCTTTAATCTGTATGTTTTGTGTTTTGATTATTATATGTTTTTTTCTGATCCAGTCTATTCGATGTTCTGTATGCTTCTTGCACCTTCATAGGAATATCGTTCTTTAGATTGGGAAAGTTTTCTTCTATAATTTTGTTGATATATTTTCTGGGCCTTTGATCTGCCGTTTTTCTCCTTCTTCAATCCCTATTATTCTTAGATTTGGTTTTTTTATTGTGTCCCAGATTTCCTGAATGTTTTGTGACGAGAATTTGTTGGATTTGCTGTTTTCTTTGGTCAGAGCGTTTAATTTCTCTATGGTGTTCTCAGAGTCTGAGATTCTTTCTTCTATCTCTTGTATTCTGTTGGTTATGCTTGTTTCTGAAGTCTCTGTTCATTTACCTAGATTTTCCATAGCCAGCCGGCCCTCGGCTTGTGATTTCTTCATTGACTCCATTTCAGTTTTCAAATCTTGAACTGTTTCCATTACCTGTTTGATTGTTTTTTCTTGGTTTCCCAAAATTTCATTTACGGATTTACTCATTTCTTCAAACTTTTTGGTATATTTCTCTTCCATTTCTTTACTCATTTCCTCAATCTTTTTGTTATACTTATCTTCCATTTCTTTACGGCAGATTTTCACCTCCTGTTTAAGTTCCTCTATTATTTTCGTATAGATCCACTTAAAGTAGATTTCTTCTATTTCTTCTGGAGTAGGGTGTTCAATTCTTCTCATTTCTTGCTCCCTGGATTCTGAAGATTTCATGTTGCCTTTCAGGTTGTTGGAAGAATTCTTGCATTGGCATCTGCCCATCTCCACCTCTCTGGATGAAACTCCTCCGCACTCTCTGGATAGAACTCCTCAGCACTCTCTGGATAGAGCTCCTCAGCACTGCAGCTGGGATAGCTGGCCTTCCCAGGAGACAAGAGTGCAGTGGCAGTGGGGGCAAGGAGGGGTCCGGTGAAACAAGGAAGACCCTGCCACAGAAGCTGAGGGGGGAGGGGCTGTGCTCTCTTCCCAGGCTGGCCGCCCAGGCTAGCACCCACTCACCTCTCTGGGTAGAACTCCTCAGCACTGCTACAGGGATAGCTGGTCTTCCCAGGGCCCAGGAGACAAGAGTGCCTCTTCAAAGAGTTCTTATAAGTATTTAATCTTGTCTAACTTTGAGGGCATAAACAGTTTATGCAGGGCTATTATCTGCATTTGGTGGTATCATATAGATTTATTCTAGCAACAAAATGAATATGGGCAGTTCAAGGCAAGCTGGAATCACAAAGAAGTATCTGAACCCATGAGAGAAACTTGAAAGTTTTATGACCAACCTGAAAATATCCCCCTGCTGTAGGGTCTTCAATCCCATGCTATATAGAGACTGGAATAGAACATTTAGTGATAAAAATAAAAAGTATCATTTATTTGGAATTTGAAATCTGTATATTAGGCACATTATTTGAATGCTTATCACTGAGCTGGTGGTGCTGTTGTAGGAGATTATGGAATTCTTAGGAGTTTGTGACTTGATGGAAGAGTGTGTCACTTGAGGTTACCTTTGTGGATTTATAGTTGGCCCCATTCCCTGTCTACTTTCTGCTTTAAGGTTACCATTATAATGTAATGGAGTGGCTCTATTCTCCTATTCACATATGTTCCTTGCTTTAATAAACTGTAAGTCCTCAGGAACTATAGGTCAACTCTATGAAGTTGACCTATACCATACTTCTACCATAAGATGAGTTTATTACAAAATTTAAAACAGTAAAAGAAATTCAGCCAACATAGACAGAGCTGTGGACTTTGGATTTTTTTTCATACTCCTGCTCTTGCCTTTTGTGGTAAGACATAAAAACCAGGCAAAGAATATCCTCTTCGTTGGAGGAACTTGGATGCCACTTGGAAACTCAAGCATCTCTGATTCCTTTCTCCAACATTCAGAATATGATTTTGACTATTTCTGTATATATCATGTGCATTTTCTTGTGTCTGATTCAATTCTACATTCATACATAAAAAATAGCGGGAAAGATAGCAATATGTAACTTATTATGACTCAGATAAAAGCCATCATATTGTAGGAGAAAATTATTATTTTATAATGTATTACATTTATTAAATAAATTGTAGAATTTATGGAATAATGTCCATGAAATTATTTCGGAGTATATTTTATGTAATATAAAATATATATTAGAATTTATTCATTTAAAAATTGAAGGTTCAAGATAATGACAATAATTATATCCATAAATAACACAGAGTTTGATAAATTTGTGACATTGGAAATGATCATGCTCCCCAAAGAGCCTCAGACTATCTGACAAAAATCCTAGTACTAGGTATGGGAAACCTCTCTTCATTTATTTGGTGAGAAGAGTTGAACCTTTAAAAATAGTGTAGGCTATTATCTTTGCCCTTGGTTGCCTCTTAAAACTTGAAAGTGAGATACTACTAATGACAGCACCACACTCTTAAGACCAGAACTTGGAGGAAAGGAGCTATAACAGTACTGGAAGTCACCTTTCTAAGAACTAGCTCTCTCAATATAAAATGATGCAATGCAAGCTGCCAATGTAAAAAAGCAATCAATAGCAGTTTTCAGCTTTAAAGAATACAAATCACAAAAATTACAAGAGTGGCAAGATGTACTTAATGTAAAATAGTGGCGCATATATCTTGAATGTAGCAAAGAACTTTCTATTTAGACTTGAATCCACTCATTAAGAGGGAAATCCTGCGTGGCACTGTAAATGTAGACAATTAGACCTAGCTGGTGGGATGATGGAACTGGAGAAGTATATTATAAAGCCACTCACATAAAAACATAATCTCTAGCTTCATTCTAAATATGTATCTTGATTCATGATAGTAAGTATATTTCCTACCCATCGTCAGAGAACCTTCATTTTGCAATAGATAGAAACCATTTTAAAAAATCCGGAACCACTCAAAAGCAAAAAGAAATGACTATGGTGTGTCTAAACACAATTAATGCTTCTCTAATGCTGCCCTTGTGCAAAAGTTCACAGAATATTGCAGAAAAGGGTAGGGAAACATTATGGGAGTCAGAGGACCATGATATCTAGTTGAGAAAGTATTTTCTATATAGTACAGGAAATCTTAAAAATATTGTGATTTCAACAATACATGCACAATAATGACATTAGTTGTTATAACAGTATGGACGGGGAAAACCTTGCAAGGCATTATCCTTAATAAACTTAATAAACAACTACAAGCAATTAATATGTGCTGAGAAAGTGAGAAATCTGACTTTTCTAGTCTAGGGCTGAGACTGTTTTGTTACCAAACTCCAAGAATCAGTCAAAAGCATATAGACATAATAGCAACTCTAAATGTAGTCAACATGCTGGATTTTTATATATACATATGTTGTATTAATGTGTGTCAATATTTAAAGAAGAAATGACAGTTTTGAGAGGAAACTAGGGAGGCATAAGAATTTCTAGAAGAGGAAGAGGGTATGGAAATGATATAAATACTATACTCATAAAATTCCCAAAATTTGAAAAATGTTTTAAATTTAAAAATAACATCAACATCACTACTAACAACAAAAATACTCAAGGAAATACCATTTCATCTCCTGTAAGACTAGATCTGAATAGTCCTGCCAACCAAAGGAATCATACAAAGTCTCTCAGGAAAAGTTACCTGTTTTACAGTCTTTAAAAATACTACATAGCGTATTTAAAATAATTGTGAACACATTTGTGTTTTAGGCCATTATCCTGTCTCATCTACTCTCAAGGGGAGGGTAATGGTGAGGACAGTCATGCTCAATCTTTGCTGCTCCTTTGCTTAGGCCATACCTTATATATTAGAGCAGAATATTACTGACATGCTTGAGCCCATTCATAGTGGGAAATTCACAACAGGCACTGACAGTGGCCCACAGAGGATGTAATTTCTCATATGGAATGACTGTGGATTAGAACAAAAAATAAGGTAATATCCCCTATTCATAGTACTCTAATACCTATCACTCTATTTAATAAGAGTTAGATAAATTCCATCTATAGAATGCTATATTGGGTCATTATTTTTTCCTTTTCTTTTCTTTCCTCTTCTTTTCATTTTTTTCTTCCATTATCTGTTAACTCCCACATCCCAGTTTGCTGTGCCTGTGATGGATCCTATGATGGATCTTCATATCTTATGTCTTGAATGACATAGATCTGAAAAAAAGAAAACAAAATCTAATTCTAAGGGCAGCAAAAGCAACTGTCACATAATATAAACTATGCTGTCTTTAATGAGCTGAGAAATTCAAATTGATAAACACCCTGTCTTAATATAAGTTATGACCATTTTTTACTATACACAAGTAAATAGGAATGCCAAACTTCTACAGACAATATACACTTAATTTTTACAATACAGATTTATATGAAGCTAGAGATGAGTTAGTAATTAGTAGTTGCATTCTTATTAGTTGATATTCATAATTCTGGTAAGGGCTATGCATGCCCCTGGGGAAGAATTACAAGGATGTGGATTCTGTGTGCCAAAGTATTAATATAGTATTAAAAGTATTAATGAGATATATTTATGGATTCAATAGTGGCACAACTAATATGGATTTAACCAACTGTTTACTGGATTTAAGGTCCACACAGCAGGAGAGAACACTGTAGTCGCAACAAAGATCTGAGACTGGGAGTAGTGATTAATGGCACTAATAAAGGGAAATCTCCTAGACTATAGCTAAATGAGTAGGATGTGTCTGTTAAATCATCTTTTAAACACTTCTGTGAATGATTATCAGTTGCTGGTTCTTTATACCTTGGTTGAGAATTGAAACTTCTTTGGTTTAGTGGGAAGTAGTTATTACAGGACCTTAACCAGTTAAAATATTGAGAATAACTGATAATTTGTATGGCCTATCAGTATACTGCTCAGTTATAAGTGAAACAATATAGCTAATAATTACTATTACTCTTTCCAAGGCTCAAGAAACATTGGCTGAAGAGCAGGCAACATAAACATATGTGCCAGGAGGAGGAGTTGTGTGGGGGCCGTCTCCTCTTAGATGAAACATTTCCTCTTTGAAGTAAAAAAGAGCTTCAAAGAACTCACAAAATCAAACAACTTAAAAGATTTATAAAGCCCCTCCTCAATATTGTAGAAGCAGTACTCAATTGATGAGAAAACAGGAAGTGTTATCAGTCATGTTGCTACCGTCCCCCTTGCCATGGCGAACTTTGATAATGGCACAGTGGGTTGTCACACATGAAGAAGTAGGCTTTTTCTTGTCATCACTGCAGAAACTACTCACCTTCCTATAAGTAACCCTGATAAATTTTAAGTGGTTCCCCAAGCTGGACTGGAGAGAGGTATTTTGAGCATTGAAGTTAATGTGTAGTGAATTGAAATAGACTCTTCAGGGACAGTAATATAATATACTGCTGTATGTTCTAATTCTGATCTTACATGTTTGCTCCCATGGTAAGGGAACCAATGCCTAAAAAGTAAGCTGGATGTTTTTTTTTTTCCTTCTCAATTCCAAATTAACTTTGTTTCATAATGTAGTGGCAATGATCCAAAGGTGGAAATAGATTATGTTTAAATGGTGTACATATCAAATTATTAGTAAACATGTACTAAAGCAACCCTTACTTGTTTGCACTTAATGATAAGGTTTATATTTTATTTCTTCATTGTAATATGAACAATGACAATGGAAGTTATTTTCCATGTATATTATTTACTATGTGCTATACTCTTTTCTTAAAGGTTTATATTTATTAAGGGCTCAAAAGCAAGCAAACAAAAAAAAGCCCAGATATTTCATTGATTCCATAGAAACAGTCTGAAGCAAAATTTATGTGTTGGAAGACAAAAAAAATCTATTAGAAGACAAAATCTCAAGAAAGCAATAGCAAATGGGAAAATGACTCTGAAAAGTAAGAAAAGTAAATAAAAGTTTGTGTAACCCAGGGCCACATTGTCACAAGAAAATAAAGCAATTTCTCTAGTCATACAAAATGCCTCCAGAAAAGCCTTGTGGGATAAGCATACCTCATAGCAATCTTTAAAGAAGAAATACGTTAAGCTGCTAATCTACGATCACCTGCCTCAATTGTGCCTGATATTAAATTGAAACAAAGAATGTAAATATCTTATTTTTCCTAAGTGTATAGCCTAGTCCTCTGGGCACATGCTACGGGACACATTTCTCCGCAGAATGGGTGAAATATTTACTTGGAATGTAATGGTCATTACATTAAATACCACATTAAATCTTAGTTATTGTCCTTGTAGTTACTGTTAGGAGATGAAGCCAAAATAGTGGCAATCAGAATTTTCAAGGTAGCAAGTGATTTAAGATTATGGACCACTGAGATCAAAGATTTTAATGAAGTTAATGAATCCCTTTCTGTTACATTTTGTGTTTTGTGCTGCTTTGGTATACTTAGGTATATCAATTATATCTATGCAAAAGTTTAAAGTAAGGTCCATTAACAGATTTATACATATTATTAAACTAAGTTATTATGACTTCTTTCATCCTAAGACAAATAATATAAATCAATTTCTACAGTTGTCATGTACCCAGATTTACTCAATTGGACCAGCATTTGTCCTCATCTAAGGAATAACTAAAAGATTTAGAAATACATGAGCATGTCCTTGCTAACCAACATGTTTTCCATTCCAAATTCCTCCATTGTGAAAATCCAACCATAGTTCCTTTATGTACTGCACAGAAGGTAAATTAGCATAATCATACACTGAACCATAGTTACTGATTATCTCACTGTTTTCTGCTATAGTTGATAGTATCAAGGCCAGTTGCTAACATTTTTTTTGATTGGTATGACTTTTCAACTTCCTTCAAATAGCTGTTTACTGAGCAAGTGGCCTCATGTTCTTTGAATACAGTCTAAAACACATTAGTCATATATTGAGATAGTCATTAAAAAGTCTTCATAGTAATATTGTTATATTTAATTTATGTGACAATTTTATTTATCTTTGAACGTTGTATGCTTATTTACAAAACATATCAATCAAGATACATGTGATATTTAAACAAGTCAGTAGGTCTGTTTGTAGTCTTTACCTGGAAAACATTTGAGCAAATATGACCACTCTGGAAGAGATTAAGTGCAGGCAGAGATGGCTAATTCAATCCCAGCTGCCCATACCCAAAATAATGACACAGAAACTATATTAACTGAAATACTGTTTGACCAAAAGCTTAAATGTATTTCTAGCTAGCTCTTACATCTTAATTTAACCAAATTCTAGTATATTGTATTTTACCATGAGGCTCATGGTTTATTGGTACCAGTGCATGGTCATCTTTCTCTTCCAGCAGCTACATGGCTTCTCACTGACTCTGCCTACTTTCTTCTGTATATCTGCTTGGAATTCCTGCCTTACTCCAACATGGGACTGACTGCATCCACCTGAAATCTGAGAAAGCTTGGAAAGAAATTCTAGACACAAAAGAACAGAGATAAGCAGAGTTTCTTGGATATCACATTTTATTTTATTTATTATGTACTTTACTTGCAGATAGGCTCTGTATGCTGGCAGCTAGCAGGGTCCCCACAGCTTCTTTAAGAAATGATTTACTGACTCCGCATAGGAAATGGTGACTTCCTAGTATGTGTTTCTAACATGAATTCTGATGTTTTCTGGAGGTCAAGCACTTAAATGGGGTCTGTGAGCAGCAAGTTACAAATTGATTAATGGTGACACAGACCCAGTATGACCCTGGAGCTGGGGAAATGTGCATGGCGCGCAGAGGCAAAGAACATGCCTCTAACATGTTGGACTGGGTGGAAACAACAGGTAGTGCCCTGGAGTTGGCCCTAGACATAGCTGATTAGCATAAAAAAGCACTCTTCATCAGAAAATTTTTGCAGATACACAATAAAGACAAATGGTGATGGAAAAGACCTCTAAATGGGTCACAGTGTTGGATAAATGTATATAGACTTGAGACTTGAAAGAGAGAGGATAAAGATTATAGAAAGTTATAAAAAGAAGTAAATGTTTTGAGAAATAAAACAAAGTCTTTGAAGAGACAGAGTACATGCAGTCATATATTAAAAGAAAAAAATATAAGCTATATAAAATGGAATATATAAAAAGTCTGGATAATGTATACTACTGTGTTTTCTTTAAATTTTTTTTGACTGTGAATGACTTAAATACAGAGACATTTCATTTAATAGGCTGCTAAACTAAACCAACATATGTACTTTAAAGGTACCTTGACTTCAAAATTTGGGTCTAAGAATATGCTGCATTGGAAAAGAGGTTCTGCTTTTGTATCCACAGAAGATGAGACCATGTGGATTCCTTCCATTCAATTCAATGTGGTTTGATCGACCAAGCCCTCCCTAAAGGTCTCCATGAGTCCCTAAAATTACTTCCTCCAACAAAACCCAGGAAATAGTTTGGAGACAACCACACTCAAATTCCCAAATATTATTTATCAGTGTTTATTTACATTTAAAGGGTATATGCTATAAACATGAATTCTCTGCAAGGGTGTGGATCTTGGTTTATTGATACAATTTTAAGGCCAATTTTGTTATATGAATATTTTTTATCTTGATTAATGTATATTTGTGCAGCTCATTTAAAACTATAATGTATTATCATTCAGGTTAATAGATAGTCTTTGTAATAGTCAAGGTTGTCACAATATTAGTTAAATTTTCTAGATGTACAGAGATATATTTAAGATGCATAGATATTTGTCAAATCTTTCAAAGATTAATAGAATATGACATTTAAAATGTTAATATGACCACAGTAGCACAGACACTGAGAGCAACAATAAATAAATGGGACCACCTAAAACAGAGAAGCTTCTATAAAGCAAAAGGCTCAGTCAATAAGACAAAAAGGCAGCCTACTGAATGGAAAAAGATCTTCAACAACCCCTCATCAGACAAAGGATATATCTTTAAAATATATAAGAAACTCAAAAAAATTAGACATCGACATTATAAATTACCCAATTGAAAATGTGGTACAGAAATAAACAGAGGATTTTCAACAGAAGAATCTCAAATGGCTGAAAGATACTTAAAAAAGTTCAACATCCTCAGCCATCAATAAAATACAAATCAAAAATAGTCTAAAATACCATCTTATACCTGTCAGAATAGCTAACATCAGAAACACCAATGATAGCTTATTCTGGAGAAGATGCAGAGCAAGGAAAACAGTTCTTCATTGCTGGTGAGAATGCAAACTTGTACAATCACTATGAAAATCAGTATGGTGATTTCTCAGCAAACTGGGAATCAACCTACCTTAGGATCCACCAATACCACTCTTTTGCATATACTCAAAAGATGCTCAATCGTACTACAAAAGCACTGGATCAACTATGCTCATAGAAGCATTATTTGTAATTGCCAGAACATGAAAACAACCTAGATACCCCTCAACCGAAGAAAGGATAAAGAAAATGTGGCACTTTTACACATTAGAGTACTACTCAGCAGTCAAAAATAATGATGTTTTGAATTTTGCATGCAAATAGATGATATTAGAAAACATTATCCCAAGTGATGTAACCCAGATCCAAAAAATGAATATAGTATAAGTAGATACTAGCTATAAACAATGGATATTGCGCCATAATTCATGATCCTAGAGAAGCTAAGTAATAAGGTGAACCCTAAGAAAAACATATTTAGATCTATCTGGAAAGTGGAAACAGACAAGATTGCCTGACAAAATTGGGAATATGGGGTTTGGGGGAAGAAGGGAGGGAAAGTGCAAAAAAAGAGGGGAGAATGGAAGGAATGAGGAGAACATGAGGGAATGGGATAGTCAAGAAGGATTAAGAACAGAAATGAGAGTAAGTTAAGAGATATCTTGATTTCGGGAACAATTGTAGGGTTAGCAAGAAATCTGGCTTTAGTGAAACCCAAGAATCTACAAGGATTACCCCAGCTAAGACCCTAAGCAATAGAGAAAAGGGGGCCTAATCTTGACTTGCCTGTAGTCAGACTGATGAATATCTTAAATATTACCATAGAACCTTAATCTAGCAACTGATGAAAACAGAGGCAGAGATTGACATTGGAGCACTGGACAGAGCTCTCAATATCCAGTTGAAGAATGTGAGAAATGAGAATATGAGCAAAGAGGTCAAGACCATGATAGGGACACCCACTGAAACTGTCTACCTGAGCAAATTCCAGCTGATCTGGAAAAGAACAAGAATAGGACCAAGCTAGTCCCTATGAATGTGGTTGACAGTTGCATGGCTGGGGCAGAATGAGGGTGGGGAGGCACTGGCAGTAGCACCAGGATTAAGCCCTACTGCGTGTACTGGCTTTTTGAGAACCTATTCTTTTTGATGATACCTTGCTCAGCCTATATGCAGTATGAAGGGACTTGTACCTTTCCCAAAGCAATGTGCCTTACCCTCTCTGAGGATTGGATGGGGGTAGGGTGAGAGGGTATGTGTAGGATTTGAGAAGAGGAGAAAGGGATCTGAAATTGGATTTGTATGTATAACAAAAAAAAAACATGTTTATTTTCTTTTTTAAAAATAAAATTTAAAAAATGTTTTAAGAATTTAGGACTTTTCAGGACAACGAGACACATCTGCTCCTGGAAGCACCAATCTACTTCAAGAGGATGATGGTCATCAAAGAAGGTCCTTATGAAGTTTCCTAGCCATTTGGGCAAGATACTGCTCTTGCCTGGCCTACTTGATGGTATGTTGTATGAACTTGATGTGCAGGACCCACAGTAAAATGACTTCTGAACTTGCCAAAAGGTGAGACAGTCCTTCAGGGTTCCTGCTTCATGAACGAGTATGCTGGATATTCTGCAGGACACACACAAAAAAAGTGACTGGCAAACTGCCACTATAGATGGAATTATCTTTGAAATTTCCTGCTTCATGGAAAAGTCTGCCAGATACCATGAACTGTAGACTGAAGATGGATACCACAATGTTACAGAAGAACTTTGGGTGACTGTCCAGATAGCAAGATGTCTCTGTCAATTCTAGAGTTATGGAAGTTGCTTACAATGCACTTCCTGTATACCTAGGTAATATTATAACCTTCTGGGGTCTTTTATGGAGTTGAAGAATAGATAATTAGAGTTTTCCTTACCTATGATAAAAGTTAAAGTAGATGTAAATATTGTAACTGTAATTGTTGCTTGAGACCTGCTTTTTGTATGTAATCTTACTATGTCAATCTTAAAACCTTCCTTTTTAATTAGAAAGAAAGGGGGAAGTGATGTAGGATTCCCCTTTCTAAGATGTTTTACTACTATTGGTTAATAAAGATGCTGTTTTATCCAATGGCTTAACATAATAAAGTCAGGCTCGAAAAGATGGAGAAAAAGAGAGTAGGCAGAGTCAAAGAGAAATTATATAACCACCGCAGGAGACAGAACTAAAGGCTGGATACAGTATGGAACCTTACTGGTAGGCAACAACCACTTGGCTATACATAGATTAACAGAAGTTGGTTAGTTTAAGATATAAGAGCTAGCTAGCAATATGCCTAATTGATTGGTCAAGCAGTGTTTTAATTAATAGTTTCTGTGTGGTTATTTTGAATTTGTTTGGCCAAGAAGGAACGAGCAGTCTCCACCAAAAATTAAGCTCAGTCTTGCTTGCAGCTTTCTCTCTTTTATACATTATGCAAATATAGTAAACTATAGTCAGTTATCTGCCTTGCCTACAGAACACCCTAAACGTGATCTATTTATTATCCATTACCTCATATTTCTGGGGCTAATGAACTCCAAACGTAACTTCAACTTTGCTTCTCATTAAGATAATTGGTTCCACTCTGCATCAATCCACTGCTGCCATCTGGCTTCTGCCATTTCTGAAGAGATGCAGTGTATTTATAGTCAGCATATCCAACTTCTATCCTAACCTGCAAAGAAAGGAAACCACACATCATTTTGTACAGAATAATTCCCTTGCATCCAGTATTCATTGTGCTGCTTTTGTAACAATACACTTTGAGTGTTCAGTTTATTCTCATGAAGTACACATTTACGAGGTAAAATTTTAAGAGTTATTTTCTATCATTGACATTTTCAGGGTCTTCAGATCACTCCCTGAATATATATATATATATATATATATATATATATATATATATATATATATTCATATATATGTGTGTGTTTATGTATATACATGTATATACATATATAAATTTTGTGTTAATCATTCTAATCTATGGTTTGAGACAGGAAAAAATGACCAACTATTCAGATCATTTCATTTGAAGAACATTTTATTTTGTGTCAAAACCTAATTGTCAATGGATTCTCACTCAACAGCTTGATTTTGATCCTCTTATCTAAAACTAGTCAGAGACCTTGTCCTCATAAAGGTCTCCCTTTTATGCAATTACTTTAGTCCTTGAACACTTTCTTTTAGGCTCTGGAAGTGCTGAAGTAATATCCTTGCATATTCTCCTAAGCTAAAAGGGGTAAAAAAATGGATATCAAGAAAATGCTCATTCATGATCATTACAAGGTATTCACACAAAGGAAGTATTCTATTATAGTCAGTGGGACAAAGAAGCTGCTCTCAGCAAATATGTTCGAGGTTTTAGAAAATGACATTCCTAGCTCTTGCTCTAAATTTCAGTTCCCATGTTCCTATTCATTTTCTACTGGGTTCTCCAATTGGGCATACAACATTATAATTTACCTAACTTGCTCAGCTCTGTTCCAGGCTTGATTTCAGCCCTTCATTGCCTGCAGTGTGGTATATGATAATCTTCTCTGAAGCTGCTCAAATCTTCTGGCTTTTAAAACACATCTAAAATTAGAGATTAAGTGTCCTTAAGCCTATCTATTCCTGTGTGTTTAGTAAGATCTGTAATGTCATTTAAAAAAAGAGTCACTCTTCCTGCAATCCTTCATAGCTTCATAGCCCTTCAATCCACAGGGCAACATCTACTTGATCTTATAATGTCATATATTCCATAATAATTTGAGAAGGTGAACACTTTAATAATGGGTTATGTTATGGCATGTCATAACTTTATTTCAGACTTTAAAAAGGGAAAGGGATTTTATTAACACAAGGTAGGTGAAATGGCCAATTCAAAATCCAATTACATGTGCTTTGCTTTCAGTGCTTGATTCTCATACTGTCTTACTCAAGATTCCCACAGGAAAAATAAATCTAGATTTTATTTAATTTATCCAGTAGTATATTCAAATTTAATAAACTTTATTCATAATTAATCTTTCCCATTCTATTTGCTGACCCATATATAAGAGTTAGAACAATGTAAAGTTTTTCAATTGTGTATACTACTCTTGATCAACAAATGTAAAGTAAAGAAGGTAGTATCAGAGACAGAGAAAAGGCAAAATAAGTAATTGTACTAAATACACTGCTAACTCTCAAAGTTTTGCAAGTATTTTTGCCTCTAGAAATGCTGTATAGTCTCATAAGCTGTTGAGATATAATATGTAAATTTCACTTCAAAATTCTCCCTATTCTCTTATTGATCGAGGAGGAGGCATACAAGTGTGAAAAACAGTTCTATTCTTTTATTCACTGGCTTACAAAGACACCTAAACAGGTTCTATGAAATTAGATTTCCTGTGCTTTGATAATTTTGAATCTATTATTCCTAATGTAGATACCATGAGAGCTCTTGACAAATTGTCTGAAGAAGTTCCAGATCCCAGTTTCATTTTGAAAGAAGAATCAAAAACAACAAATTGTATATTTTTGTACCATAAACCAGTAGTTCAAATGCAAGTGACTGTGGGATTTAAAGTCATTAGAATTATGCATGGTATAATTTTACCAAGGATCTAAACTTTCATCCTTTGGAGGTAAGCCAAATGCCTGGGTAGCCAGTTGTCTTATTAAAGGTGCCAATGACCAGGAGCATGTACTATCCAGCAGGCAAGTGTGGGGGTTGTACATATTGTGAAAATGGTACTGTGGCTACATTTATAACTAAGGAAACAGAATCACATTTTCAGCATCTATACAGGAAGACTTCTGGAGAGTATAACTAATGTGAACCACCTTCTTTACTATGTCTCAAAAAACAATGGACTGACAGAAGAAAAATAATGAGAATACAACTAATATTAGTTAGATCTTATATGTGGAATTTGTCTCAAAATAGAAGTCTTTTAACTTTTAAATACCCATCATTAGAAATAAAGGCCTCTACTTCGGTAGTTAGTGCCAAAATTATTTACCACTAACCTCATTTCATGTTTTCATGCAGTTGAAAATATATTGAATTTTTTAATGATGATATAAAGATTTTTAAGAAAATCCTGCCTTATTCTTTATTTTGCAATTGATTTATGAAGCTCATGCATATTTTTATGTCATTTCTATTCCTATCTCTCACCTTTGGATTCTTTCCTTGACTCTCCCACCCTCTCAAATTCATGAACACTTACATAATAGCTATTGCTACATATGCACGTATATAACCTATGAAATCCACTTGGTTTTGCTCATATATACATGTGCACAAGGATAACTGCTTGGGTTTGGATAACTTTCTAGAGTTTCTTCCCTGAAGCAAAGCAATGTCCCCTCTCTAAACAGTCGTTGATAGCCTGCATCTCCTTGTCTAGCTACTGAACTATGGAAATTTCCATATTCACATTGACATTTTGACTGGTGTTGTCACTGTGTGGGTCTTATTTCTGAAATCAGGGGATTGTCTTGTGAGAGTCACTTACTCTCCTTCCATCATATGGAACCCAGGCATGTACTCAGATTGTCCACTTGACAGCAAGTGCCCTTATACCTGAGCGATCTCATTTACCCATGACACCCTATTCTGAGTCTGGATATATCGTCTATGCTTTAAGAATATTTTGTCAAACTGTATTTCTATTTACACCAGAGAAATATGAAAATATCTTGAAATTATGAGAACTAAGACACTGTCCAATCTCTTTAGGTTCTAATGCAAGGAAGAATATTTTACTACAATAGTATATTTTAACTGAATATCATCCTTGAAAACAAAAGGACAATTTCTCTATTCAGTTGCCAGTATGGGTTATTATCCAGTATTATGATTTATTACTAACCCAGTACAGGCAAAAGAGCTTACTGTTATGTAATTTGCAACTTTTCGGTTGAAATAAGATTAGGCGTATTTTAACCCATACTTATTATTTACTCTCATTGACTCTATTATTTTTGTTTCATTTTATTTTATGTATTTCATAAATTTCCTTTTAAATTTAAGTTTATGAATTCTTGTACTAATATGGATCTTCAATAACACATATATTTGTTTTTAATATTTACATTAATGCTTTTCTCCTATTGGCATGCCCTTCAACTGAAGAAAGATAAAGAAAATGTGGTACAATTACACAATGGAGTATTACTATGCTGTTAAAAGCAATGAAATCAGGAAATTTGAAGGCAAATGAATGGAAGTAGAAAAAAAAAACCCTGAATGAGGTAAATCATACCTAGACAGTTAAACATGGTATGTATTCACTCATAAGTGGATAATAACTGTAAGGACAGGATAACTATGCTATATTCCACAGACCCAGAGAGGGTTCAAGGCAGGTGTAGGAATTTAAGGCCTACCAGGCCAAAAAAAAAAAAGCCAACCTGGCATCTTCATGGCACTGTCGAAGGTCCTGACCTTGCCGAGCTTATAACAGCAACCAAGTGGGGGTTCCTGAGTGCCTAGCAACAGGTATTGTCAGAGGTCCTGATCCTGCCTAGCCAATGAGGGACAAGTAGGAAATGTCAATTGTCAATGAGTCAAAACGCTTGGGTGCTGGGAGACTATATGAGATTTTCCCTGTTGTTAAATAAACGAGTCTGCTGGAAGCCTTCTTGCCTGACTCCTGGCATCTATGTTTATCGATGTAATGCCTTTTCAACCCCTCCCCAGAGGAAGACGTTAGGACCCAGTAACAGTTGGGACACAAGGTTCTCTGTGAGAAGGGGAAATAGAAAAGATCTCCTGGGTGGACTTGGGGCAGGTCGGGATGGGAACTTCTATCGGATTTCGGGACAAATGGAAAGGATTGTACTGAAAAAGAAGAGTTGACAGCAATGCCTAACATTTCGGGGTCAGGTTGAATCTTAATGTAAGGGAAAATGCGACAAATCTACAAGGATGACCCCAGTTAAGACTCTTAGCAATAGTGAATTGCTAAGAAGCCTGAACTGGCCTTCTCCTGTGATCAGATTGGTGACAACTCCAGTTGTCTTCAGAGAGCTTTCATCCAATAGCTGATGAAAATAGATGCTGTGACCCACAACCAAATATTAGTCCGAACTCAGGGAATTCTGCTGAAGAGAAAGAGTAGATATTAAAGCATCAAGAAAGATCAAGAAAATCACAAGAAACTCACAGAAATAATTAACCTGTCTCATTGGATCTTATGCTGTCTGAAAGAACATCCAGGGAGCCTGCGTGGTCGTGTCCTAGGTACCTGACATATATATATGACTGTTGAATAGCCTTGTCTACTTTTGGAACTTCTAATAATGGGAGCAGGACCTATTCATTTTGCTTTGATTAGTTCTTGGGAACCTATTCCTTATTCTGGATTGCCTTGTCCAGCCTTAGTACAAGGGGTTTGCTGAGTCTTACTGCAATTTTGTTGATTGCTTTGCTGATACTCATGAGAGGCCTGCACCTTAAGAACAGAAACCGAGGAAGAATGGAAGGAGGGAGTGGCAACAATGGGGTGGGGGAGGGAAGAAGAGGAGGGAGGAGAAACTGGGGTCAGGATGTAAAGTAAATAAATTAATTAAATAGAAATTTATTTACACTGACTAACAGTATCTTAAACTGTAGACCTGACTGGTTGGAACTTATTATGTGACACAGCACTGCCTCAAACCCATGACAATCCTCCTTTTTCATTCACCTAAGTGCTGGGATTTAAGTCTTCTGTCCCAAATCCCTGTTTTTGTTTTTTTTTAAGATTTGTTTATTTATTATGTATACAACATTCCTTCCATGTATGCTTGCATGCCAGAAAAAGGCTGCAGATCTCATCATAGATGGCTGTGAGCCACAATGTGGTTGCTGAAAATTGAACTCAGGACCTCTGGAAGAGCAGTCAGTGCTCTTAACCTCTGAGCCATCTCTCCAGCCCAATTCCTGCTGTTTTATGGTTCCTGGCATACCTGATAATTTGCCCTTTATCTTTTAAATTTTTCTTAGTCACTTTTTTAGTGCCTTCTGATCACATCTTTTAAAAGATCCCTGCCTATGACTCCGCAGATGGAGAGGGGTGTTTGTGGGGAGCAAGGGGAACTCTCATCCATTGCTGGTGGGAATGCATACTTGTGCAACCACTTTGGAAATCAGTGTGGTGGTTTCTCAGGAAATTGGGAATCAATATACCTCAGTATCCAGCAATACCACTCTTGGGAATGTATCCAAGAAATGCCCAATCATACTACAAAAGCATTTGTTTCATAGCGCATTATTTGTAATAACCAGATCCTGGAAACAACCTAGATACCCCTCAATGGAAGAATGGATAAAGAAAGTGTGGAATATATACACATTAGAGTACTACTCAGCAGTAAAAAATAATGATATTTTGAATTTTGCATGCAAATGGATGGAAGTAAAAAACACTATCCTGAATGAGATAACCCAGACCCAAAAAGATGAATAGGGTATGTACTCACTCATTAGTGGACTCTAATCATAAACAAAGGACATTAAGCCTAGAGAAGCCAAATAACAAAGTAAACCCAAAGAAAAACATATATAGATCCTCTTGGAAATTGAAAGCAAACAAGATTGCTGGAGAAAAGTTGGGAGCATGAGGATGGGGGTGTGGGAAGGAAAGAGGGAGAGAGAGAAGGGAAAAGAAAGACTGGTGAGTGCTTGGGGGAGCAGTAGTGTGGAGACGGAGGAGGGACAGATATAAGAGCAGGGAAGAAGATAATCTACATTAAGGGATCCATTTTAGGGTTGGCAAGAGACTTGGCTCTATAGGGGATTCCAGATGTCCACGAGGATGTCCCCAGCTAGGTCATTGGACAGCAGAGGAGATGGTGCCTGAACTGTCCTTGCCCCACTCTCACGCTGATGATTATCTCTAATATCACCATAGAGTCTTCCTCCAGCTACAGGTGGAGATAGAGACAAAGTCCCTCATCAGAGCAACAGACTGAGCTCCCAAGGTCCATTTGAAGAGCAGAAAGAGGGAAGAGATGAGCAAGGAAGTCTGGACCATGAGGGGTTGGTTCACCCACTGAGACAGTGTGCCTGTTCTAATGGGAGCTCACCAAATCCAGCTGGACAGGTCGTGAATGAGCATGCGATCAAACCGGACTCTGAATGTGGCTGACAATGGGGGCTGACTGAGAAACAACTGATAATGGCACTGGGACTTGTTTCTACTGCATGTGCTGGTTTTTTGGGACCCTAGTCTATTTGGATGCAAAGCTTCCTAGGCCTGGATTGGGGGAGGGAGCTTAGACTTCCCACAGGGCAGGGTTCCTTGCCCTCTCTTAAGGAGAGAGTGGGAGGGAGGAGGGTAAGTGGGGGAGAGGGAGGAGATTGGGAGAAGAGGAAGTGTACATTTTTGAATGGAAAAATAAATTTTAAAAAAATCCCTGAAATTTATGACTAAAAAAATACACTTATTGTGCTACTACATAGGCATGATGTGAGTCTAATAAACTTCTATTACAACATTACAGGATTCATTTACAGTTTATGAAATGTTCACATAGAGGCAGGGTTGCTTTACCTAAGAAGGAGAGAGGGCGATAATGCAGAGTAACAAGGAGGAAGCAGATATAAGTAACACCAACAACTAGGAAAAGTTATTTCCTAAACACACATACACATGCACACACACCTACATGAATGATGGAATTATGCCAGGTGATAAGACTCCACGACAAAGATGAACTATATAATGAAAATCTGTGTTCCTGGCATTGGAAACTTTTCTTTGACTTGTTGACACTCTCTCCCCTGGAAAATAGGGCATTGCTTTTGCCCTCAGTCTTTTTTCCAGAGCTTTAAGTAAGATCTTAAAGCTGAAGATGCCACAAATTTCAGATATGAACGAGAAGAATAGTTTTAATTCCTACATTGATAATCATGGCTCCAATAATATCAGTGCTTTTGTCTTTTATACTGAAACAAAAGAAGACTTGATAAAGTATGACTCCAGTTTTTCATCATGTTAAATATTGTACAGATGGTGAGCAACCACATACTTTACTTCAAAATTATCTAAATAAAATCCTTTTATATATAATTATGCCAATTTTACTTAAACTTCAGTTTATTCATTTCTGTTTAAAATGTTCATTTTAGTGTTTCTATTTTCATTGTAAATTTATGTTCCAGTTTATAAAATTTATATTATGAATGTGGATTCCAAGCATTTGAATTCTCCAGGCAGAGGGAAACCTCAGAGGGCTTAAAAGCTGAGTCATTCCTTATCCCTGTTCTATCCCCCTCCCTTACAAAGTTCTTCAGACAGGAGTCAATGTTATCTTTAGCCAGGCTTTTAGCAAGTCTAGGGAGGGGAGCCCTTAGGAAGCAGGGGTGAACTTGAGGGAAGAGTGGGCAGAAGACACAATGGAACACAAATATGTAAAATCAAATGTGAAAAATACAATTATGACCTTTTTAATGTTCTAGCCCCCATAGACAGTTCATTTCTCTGCATGCAAATTTTATATTAAAAGAATGTATATGCCTTAGAATCGTTAACATTGCACAGCAGAGCAGTGTCCCTCCCTCTGTGCTTCTGTAACGCATGGCATCTGACTATTTTACTCTACCATTCATCTCTGATTACAATATTTTATCTTTCACAAAATTGGCTGTACTGTTCTAGCTAATATTATTCCTTCTAACTCTTCCCTACTTTCTCTCCTGCATTATCACATTAATATCATCATGAACTGTTGAAATGTTTTTCATCAAGTCTTAAATATTAAATGCATCCTGTTATGGTGTAGGAGTTCTGCTTGTGTGTTGCATTCATTGGATAATGAATCAGGAAACTGCCTTGGCCTAGTTGATAGGACAGAACCTACATAGGCAGAGTAGATAGAATTGAATGCTGGGAAGAAGGGCAGAGTGGCAGACGTCATGGGTCACCTGCCTGAGACAGACGCTGGTTAGAATCTTGCCAGTAAGCCACAGTCACGTGACAATACACAGATTAATAGAAATGGATTAAATTAAGGTGTAAGAATTAGTCAATAAAAAGTTAGAGCTAATGGGCTAAGCAGTGTTTAAATGAATACAGTTTCTGTGTGATTATTTCAGGTGTAAGATAGCAGGGCAGCCGGTACAACAAGCAGCCCGCTCCTCCTGTTACACTATTATGTATTAGTACTATATTGAACCTCTAGGCAATAGAAAATCCATTATTTTCAATAGAGTATAAACCCTGATCATAAACTAGTTATTTACTTTTAGCTCTTGTGGAAAACAGTCCACAGAAACAGATTAAGATTAAGATTATTCTCTGAGAATACCAAAAAAGGACCTCGCTAGTGCTTAACTGTTTCCCAGTTTACATTTATTTCATATTTGAGGTGTGTCAGATATCAGACTATTTAGGCATGAAGTAGTATATAAGAAGCATAAAAGCTCCAATAGATGTTGGTTTTCATTTTTAATTTATGGATAGATACTATTTTGTTTCCTACCGTGCCATAT